CAGGTCTTTGCAGCAAGTTGTGATGCCCTCCAGAAGGATTTAAAGAGTCGTCCCGATGGCGACCACTTGGTATGGGACAAAGATGAAAAGAGTGCCATGGACTTTGTCACAGCATGCGCTAACATACGCGCACATATCTTCAATATACCACTCAAGTCGAGGTTTGAGATTAAATGTAAGTATACTATTCTGATATGCTATCAGTGATTGTAATATGGGAATTAAGAATGTTTCATGCAATTTAATTATCCTTTATGGCTTATTCACGTAACTCGATTTAGTTAATTGAATAATTTCAAGCCACGTTGGACGCGATGTTATCTACAACTCTGTGAATTTTGGTATTACAAATAAGCCTTCATAGTATTTTAGCCAAACTCAATAACCATGAAGTTAAGTTGAAGTTTTAGAAGAAAGTTTCATTGTAGCTAATGTAAGCTTCTCAGTTATAAGCAGCATAATTACAAGTAAGGAGACTTGTCCTAGGGAGGTAAAAGAATTATAGGCATTAAAACGAGACAAAAATCCCACCCAATCGAGCTTCTTATTTAAAAGGGCGACGGATTAATAGTCTCCTTCGTATTGCCGAAAATTTCAAAAATACTTAGTGGTTAGTTAATAATTAAAGTTAAATAACAATTTGTTTTTAACAGCAATGGCGGGCAACATTATCCCAGCCATAGCGACAGCTAACGCTATAGTGGCTGGACTGGCGGTACTGCGGGCTCAGGCAGTGCTGAGAGGAAACATTCAGACCTGCACCAGTGTTTACTTGCGGCCTAAGGTCAACCATCGCGGACAACTGTTTGTACCGGAGAAAAGTAAGTTTACTGACATAGTTTCTTTTTAAGGCAACTACTTTACTATCGAATGTTTTTGTACAGCTAATGGCCTGAACTTTGTTACTTTAGTTTCACTGCGAATTTCTCATTACATATATTATGATGTTTTTATTTTGTTTATTTTTCTGTTGCCTTTTTTCTCTTGTCACTAGTGGCCCAAGCTGCAATTTTTGTCATCTCTATTAAACAAACTACAAGAAAAATTTCTACATAAAGTTTAAAAATACTGTAATCCTAATCAGAAGCGCCTAAACAGTGTCAATTTCATTGATAAAAATCGGTAAAATGCTTAAATAATGATTCAGGAAGACATTCATGTAATATTTATTCCTTTACAGCACTGACACCACCTAACCCGAAATGCTATGTCTGCGCACCTAAACCAGAAGTGGGGCTTGCTTGCAACTTAAAGCAGCTCACTCTGAAGGATCTCACATCTGCTTTCAAAGAGGGTCTCAACATGCAGGCCCCTGACGCAACAGTTGAAGGCAAAGGTTTAGTGGTACTGTCTTCAGAACCAGGAGAAACTGATCATAACAACGACAAGACGTTAGAAGAAATCGGCTTAAATGACGGCTGTGCGTTGTTAGTCGATGACTTCTTACAAAACTATGAAGTAAGGGTGAGACTACAGCAGGAAGACGAAGAAAAGTCCTGGCGACTCGTCACAGACACTGACGCCCCAATGCCAGCTCCTAAAGAAGAAGAGAAGCCGGCCAACGGCTCTAACGGCAGCGACCCGAAACCTGGCCCCTCCACGTCAAGGACCCGGGAAGATAGCGACAGTGATATGGAGATCATTGAGGAGGACGATGACGAGCCCGCAGTGAAACCCCCAAAGCGCAGGCGCACGGAAATGAGTGATGAAATTGTAAACCTTTGTTAACATAGAGTTTTTAATTTTTCCATAGAACACTTCCGACTATTGTTATAAGTCTACGGTCGCAAAACTGTTTTCTACAATTTAATAAGTAAATGTTTAAATACATTTTTATAAAAATATAAAGGCGTTTTGCCTGTTTTAGCAATACATAATAATATATGTTGAGACAAATTCACATGTTATAATGGGTCCTATAATCGAACGTTTAAGACATTTAGCAACATAGTATTAAAAATTCGAGGAGAACTATATAATTATTTAAGAACAATTTCTTAGTAATATAAGAGTTATATAACTTTTGTAGTACTCTTGTCTCATTAATAAATTAATTTAGATAAGAACCTGGACTTTTGACCTGTTAAAACTTCCAAATAATAAACTGAAACCTTTTAACTTCTCACCTAAACCTTCTAACTAATTTGGGGGGCGATGCACTCATAACATTAACATTAAAGAAGCTATGAAGGATAGGTGAAAGGTATCGCAATGCTATCATTATCTTTAGTAAACACCATACCAAGCTAGTGTGACGTCATACCTGTTCTTTCGCCTTGTTTTCACTACACACCACTAACATCAAGAGTGATTTCCCCTCATTTCACATGCTGGTTGGTCCGTTAATTGCGATGCGGTCGGCTCATTCCCACGGCCTACGATCAGAATGGCGGCCACTGGCCATTGTAATTTGTAGACAATTATTTTTTCATTCATTTGAAAGGAAACAGCAACTAAATGTCTCCCATTGCAATAATATTATTTTTGTTAGCTGCTAATATAGAAATATTCAGTGCAAGGCGTTCTTTTTAAAAACACTTTTGGTTTTTGATTCGTTCATACACGGATCCTGCTTCAACCTCAGACCAAATAAAAACTTTTTATTTGGTCTGAGGCTTCAACCATGTTTCACGAAAATTATATAAGTACAAAGAAAGATAATTTCAGATTCGAAAATAAAAAACAAAAATGTATGCGTAATATATTATGTTCGTTTCAATGACGTATTATATATAGACACGTCATGAAACAACATAGCGGGGCTTAAAAACGGCGACAATACTAGATAACTACTTCTACGAGTAAAGAAAGGGAAAGAAAATATGACATCGTATAGTGGAATGCCTTTGCTAGAGGGAGATAAATATACATCTTCAGTTATGCCGACGGCACGTGACTATACCTTCATGCGCCGGCCGCCATAAGATGGCGGGCGCCGGCATCGAAAAAAATAAAATAAAAATAGGTTGTTTGGTGAACTTACGCATGAAATGACACATTTTTGTCTTTAACTTTTGGAGTATAATTTGTACATCGTCTGAACATACACGACGACATGCTTTCTTTATGTTTCGCACAGGTTTACACACACGATATAAATTAAAAACAAACGTAGCGTAGCGCGGCAGGTTGGTGCGTAACTAAGCGCGATGTTGTCAATTGCCTTCATTTCATGTTGCCATTTTAGAGCGCGGACAACGTATCTATAGTTTTATACATCATTGGTTCGTTTGACACCATTGTTATTATTATTGAGATGGCTCCATGAGTTTATGTACCGAAACCTTATGTGGTAGAGTCAGCAATGTTAGCTACTGAGCACTTCTCAATCCTATTAGTCATAAGGGTGGGAAATTGCGGACGCGCGTGTCATTAATTAAACCTTATTAACGCTCACAATAGGGACAGAAACAATACGCTGTATGTTGGTGGTCTATTGTTGTATAAATTGTGTAATACCTTCAACACACCGGGTGGCATATTTTCCTTTAAACAACGGTGCAAAAGTACCTACAATTTTACTAATGTTCGTATTACAAAATTATGAAGCGTTACCGTACTTTCGATGTTAAATACAACCATAATCTAACTGTTAAAACCAGAATTTACAATTGTAACATAAACTATTATTAAAACTCATCCGAAGCACCGTAACAAATTACAATTAGTTACAGTCAATTAACAATGCACGGTGTTTTCCTCAGAAGATTATAACTTGCTACAACAGTTCAGCGAGCGAGCGTCGAAATTATGTTATCTCGGCGTAGGTATCAAGTGCGCAAAAGCTAAAAGAATCTTTTGCGTTTGAGTATTTATTATCTTTCGAAGTTAATTTTGGAATCAACATCAATATACGATTCAGTTCATTCGGTCGGCCCACTTCATAAATAGCTTTTGCGATTCACTTTATGAGGAGCCACCACCTACTTTCGTTTTAACTTCAGCAATAGGTAAAAAAAGAAAAATGGGTCGCGTAATAAAAAAAAACTACAGACGTGCAAATCGCGTTTAATAAAATTAAATGATATATCTAGTCTAACGGTCTATAATATTAGCACCCGCTTAAAAACAGGCGGATTCGACACGATGCAGCCAAAGAAACAAATAGCTAGCAAACAATAAAAACAATTTTATAAGTACAAAATAATTAAATGCAGGTTTTGTCTTAAGAACATGTTGTTGAATATTTCTAAACAATTATTTTGAAAATAAGTATACTATGAGAGATTTAGTACATGATTTTACTACAAAATACAAAATAATATCAATTATATTATTCTTATTAGTACATACAAGACAACACAGCTGGAAGTTATGATCTAGTAAGGCTGATATAATCTTAGAATTACACAAACTAAAAACAACTAAATCTAAATATTGCTACCAGTATTAAATGCTACAAATTTTAATAAGATGATCTTGCATAATATTGTATACTTTGGCTTTAATTTACATTTAAAATTGATTAAAAGTGTGTGTTACAAAAAATTTTCCTTAAAAGTTATACCTTGGCTTATTTCCATGATGCAATGTAAACATTCATGACATGAAATATGACGTGGGTAAAAGATCAACAAAACATTAACACATGTGTAATCCCTTAATGCAGAGAGACATTTATCATACAATGAGGTAAACCCGTAAACAACCTTCAAGGATAAATCCAACAATAGGTGGGATACAATATTACCTATTCAAGGATAAAACTAATGATAAATATTGTAGACAGACACCATTATTACAAAAATATTATTGATCCTATTGAAACAGATGTACAATATTAGCATTAATGTATATTTTTCCCCCAGCACACAAACATTTCACTTTCTTTTTCTAAAAAGTTAAAGACATATCCTTAAAGCTAAGCTTACATTATTGATTTATAAAATAAATTAATTTACAAACTAAACTCTCAATCATAAATGTTGATACTTCATTTTAAATTCAAGTATGTTATGTTGTATTTCATCAAAATTTTTGTTTATCAACATTTATGTATGAGGCATAAATTTGTGTTTATTATTTTTCTGGTAGCATTCCATACTCAATGAGAAAGCGCTCCACATCAACAGCAAAGAAATCATTACCAAGTTCTGTAGCCAGTTGTACAAAGTTGCCGATTATCTGGCCTCCTTTGTATGCCAACAATGCAGGCACACCATCTACACGGAAGTGACGGCTAAGTCCAGTTATGTCTGCAGCTATGCGACAGAACTTTATTGTTGGGTAATCGGTTGCAAGTATATTCAGACACCCATCCATAGTTTCACAAGCTCTAGTATTGCTATTGTAAATGTGGATGATTACTGTAACTTTTGGGTCTTCTTTGTCAATGGCATTGAGGAACTCATCTTGGCTATTAAGAGTTGTGAGTACGCCAAATTTGGGTACCTTCTGCAACTGGCTCATTAATTCTTCCATTCTTTGCTTCTGATATTGCAACAAAAATTCCTCATCCATTAATTCAGACAACTCATCCTCCATTTCTTCTTGCTGTTTTTCTTGAGCAGCTTCGCGTTCAGGTTTAACGGTCAGGGTAAGTTTCTTCGCTAAAGCGATTCGCTCTTTCGCAAGCTCCGCACGGTTTTCGGCTTCCAACTGCTTGAATCTCCTCCAATCTTCGAGTACTCCTTTCGGTCCAGTGTTACTTGCTTGACCTGTCCAGTTATTAATGGGTGGTGGTTCAGCATTTGTCGCCACTTGAGACTTGGTAATCTCTCCTTCTTCATCGCCACTTCTATCGTCATCAGATTCTCCTTCATCTTCACTGCTACTACAATAGTTTTGTAATTTGTTTCCCAAAATTTTATCCTCTAAAGTAGCCATGGCTGTACTGTTACTGTATCTCACAATAGATGATTCACAGTAATAAAAGCGGAATGTATACAAGTGAAACAATAAAATCTAATTTGAACACAGTACACAGTCGTTTACAAGACGTCTGACGCCGAATGTAATTGCGTTATTTTCCCGTAGCCAGATGTCATTGGAATGTTTTTTTTTGAGTTTATGGTCTGAATACAAGTCCTTTAAGCTAATCATTGGAATGAAAGTACTAAGTAGTGTTGTCATACTAAATAATATATGGACCATGTCCATTATAAATGTAAATATATTAGTAGGGGAATATTTATATATACAATTATACTATTTTTTTACTTATTCTGTATATTATTTCGTTTGAATTTCAATAAGTTTACCTTGCAACCTCACAGTGAAACGATAGTGTCAAAATTGGCTTAAAGAACTTGTATCCAGGCCATAACTCCAAAAAAAAAAATAGTGTCAAAAACTTCAAAAAGTCAATATGTCAAAACTCGAAAAAACGTGAACTCGTGGTTGATTGGATTTGTTTACAAAAAAATAAGTGAAAATATATAAAATAAGTGTGAAATAAATATTCAATAAATAGTGCGACAATTCCAAAACGATAAAATGAGTTAGTTTCATCTCACAATTTAATAAATATTATTAAATTCGTTTGTAGAAATGTTTTTAGTGATTTTAATGTTCATAACATTTTAGGTCAAGTATTACAAAAACTGCGGAATGTGGATTCCAACGACAGTGATGCTGTGAAAGAAGCAATTACTTTGTTTATGCAGAATTTACTTAAACATGTAAACGACAATAACAATGTGTGGCTGCGTGCTTTAGAAGACGTGCTTACCCGGTAATATAACCTCGAAATATTATAATATAGCATGACTTAGGAACTATTTCATCACTACAACGCAAGCAACGGCTATAGGCCTGTGGGTAGTCTTAGGGGCGAATACTGTACTTTATAAAACAGTCTAGTAACTTTCCCTCTAATCCAGTGGCTTACAAAATAATAAATTTAATTATAAAATTGAAAGAACAAGATAAAAATGTGGTATTACAATGGGTGCCTTCACATATCGGTATTGAGGAAAATGAAAAAGTAGATCAACTAGCCAGGGATGCATGTTTGGAAGGTGTGCCAGTGGAATATGAACCTCAGTTGTCAGACGTTTTATGCGAAATTAAGGCAAGAGGCAATGATATGTGGAAGGAATACTTTGATGAAATGTCACTATCCAAAGGTATTTGGTATCGAACAGTTCAACCGACCATTAACAACCATCCCTGGTTTGACAATACCGAAATGAACAGGCAAGAGATCGTGACAGCCTTCAGACTTCGCTCCGGACACATTCCATTGAACTGTTTTGCAGCATTGATGGGTAAAGTTTCATCTCCAAACTGCACGGAATGCAATAAAATTGAAGACGTTTTGCATATTATGATGGAATGTGTCTGAAACGAAACCGAAAGATGCATGATCAATATTGAACACTCGATTAATATTAGGGATTTAGGAATTTGTAATATTATATTGGCTTTTCCGACATCTAGAGCGGCTAGATTAGTATATAAATTAGTTAATGTAGGAATTAAACGTAGATGTTAATTTAACTTCATTTTGTTTTTAATGTAAGTATTTTTTGTATAGTTTATGAATTACAATTAAGGTTACCTATGAGGGTGACATGTTCACTGCGTGATCAAACCCTTTTCAATAAATAAAGATATAAAAAAAAAAAAAACTTTCCCTCTGCTTGTTGGTTGATATCAAAAAAGTTTAATGTCTTTTTTAATTGTGTGTATATGAGCCCTAGTTCCTAATGTTCTTCTGTGGCCTATAGTCTTCTTTGTGGTCAATCAAACATAAAAAACATGTAAGAGAGCAGGGTAGCTCTGTAGTTTGTCATTAACTCTTCAAGTTTTGCTTATTTAGTTCTTTACAATCATAGTAGAGAATGAATTTACATATTTTTATTGATAATTTGTTTCTCTTTAGGTATCCAAGATACTGTTCTCAACATCGGCCCACGATAGAAAAGTTTATAGTTCATTTCCTGGAATCTAGTAACTATTACAATGTCATTGTTGCCGCCAAATGTGCTCATGCCTTACAACAGGTAAGATTTTTTAAATTAATATCTGTTACTAATAAAATTGTTATACACATTACAAAAGTATATGCAAGGAGGTTAATACCTTACATATTTTATATAAGTGTCATAATTCCGATTATTGTGTGTATACAGCATCTAAATTATGCTCCTTATGCTTGAGTGCCTTGTGCAATCATGTTTCATTAAATTTTTACACAAAGGAACATAGGTGTACTTATACAATGTAACTTCTAGTATTGTTATTTTTAATGTGCCCATGTACTATCAGTGTCATAAGTGCATGGAGGATTCCAAATCAAAATCGTTTGTACGGCGTTTCATCGCCTTAATAATATTACCATGGATGACATAGATGGCGCTAGTATACTAGTGGTATTGAAAAATATACATTTATAGTTTTTATCAGATACAAAGTTATTAACTTAATAAAACTTTTACACAAATTAATGCTAAGATATTCCAAACCTTTTTAAAGCTAAGCACGCAATAACCAGGATTCGAACTCGGTAGCATAAAATTTACCGATGCCACTAGCCATTAGGCCATTGCGTAACCTTGAAATCGATTGAAATTATCCTACTCTTTATTATATTGAAGTTGTTTAGCAACTATAACCCGATCATAAATCTCAATGCAGTTGAGGGTAATTTAATATTAACTGTATAAAATTTAAACCTTTTTGTTCAATCATAACATTCTTTACTATCTTTGAGTGAGTTCAGTTACGATTTGTTTAACAAGTTTTTAATATTTATTTTTATCATGAGTTTGCGTTCAAATATTGATATGGCACGAGGGCCCAAATAATAGCATTGCATAATCAAAGGTTTAAATTATACTGAAATTTCGAGAAAAACTGGCTTAAACGTAAGTATTCTTTTAAAATGACCGTTCGTTATTTATTTTATTATCCATGATATCGATACATCAAAATAATAATTAATAATACACGTCCCTTGCAGGTAACGACTGCCACTTTATGGATATCTAAAGCTGTTTCAAGAAGAGGGTTCATTGGAGCACCGTAGTAGATCTGGTTGAAGACGTGATATTGTCTCAGACCAGCTTCAACTTATCAAGGTTATGAGGAAAATTACTGGAGCATTGTCATCTTTAGTGATGCAAACAGTGAAAACTACATAGATGTGCTGAAAGACGTCATGAAGATGTGCTAGTGATAACGTTCGTGCAGGACAATTGTCCTATGTGTAATGTTCCATAATTGTGCAAGTGTTAAGTCAGCAATCAGACATACGGATTATTCCTTGACCAGCGAGATAGGAGAAATAGGATCGATAAAAATGGCGGCTATACTAGTTCTTAGAAGAAAAGATATTGTTGACCAAGCAATTACAAGACCGGGGTAGCTATAATTTATTTAATGGATAAATGTTGAATGTTAGTGTTAGTAGGATAAATTTATTGACTACTTTATAACCAGCAACTGTTATTTATAGTAATTATTTTAATATTTTACTAAATATGAGAAATAAAAATAAAAGCAATATTAATATCTACAGATGCTATTGATTGCAAAATAATAAATTATTTATTTATTAATTACTATAAACAATTCGTCCCATATCTAATGAATGCTATATCCCGGTATTAGAAATGTTATTGATTTAAGGTCTAGCTTCAATTTCTTCCTTGTTCTGGAACGAATACTTAAGCTATGAGCCTTTGTCATAACATGCACAAAATGAATCACTTTAGTCAATACTTTAAGTAAATTTTATGGGGAGGTAAAATATTTGCAGAAGTAAGGTTGCATATTATATAGAATCGTATTATAACATTGTGTTTAAAACTAACTAATAAATTACTAGCACAACACAATTTTGATTTAAAATACTTATTAATCTTTTATAAAGTGTATTAAATAATGTGTTAGTTAGCTGAAAAGTTATTAGGTCAAGGTATACACTATATAAGAAAGAAATAAAAATTATGTTTTAAGAAATAAATGTCTGAAATTATAATGTCACAAAAATAGTTTTATTTGTTATCCTTTATGAGAATTAAACTTAGTATTAGTCTTAATCTGTGAGAAAAATATGTTACTTTTACATCAATAGTTAGCACATATTATAAAAGTTATTTATATATATTTATTAGTATAATTTTATTCAAAACTAATATATATATAATTATTTTTGTTATCTTTTATAAATATTAAACGTCAAATATTTTATTTATATATTATTATTATTGATTTTATACAAAAAATATAAAAAAAAACCATTGTTAATAAACCTGAATTTAAAAATGATAACCCAGAATTGAACCGGTGCCCTTCGACTTCATAAGTCTACCATTCTTATTCAACCGAGCTACCGATCGCATTTTTTATGAAGTCGAAAATGAGGGTTAGTTTATAACTTTTATTATTGTCTATTATTAATTATTGACGCCATCTTTTGATTGGTTTGCTTGACTTGACTTAGATGGCGCTATATTAAGTCCTCGGAAATGAGAAAAGTAACATAATTTATGTGTATTTGAATATAAATATATTATTGTTTCTTAATTATTATTTTAACCATTAAAAACCTTATTGTGTGCCTCTGTAGTGTAAACTATTCAAGCTTTGCAGGGTTATTTTCATTTAAAAGCAGCTCCATCTAGTTATCAATGGTAGTGTTATGCAAAACCTGTCAGTCAATAGTCGACCTTAAGCTCTCCATGCATTTTTGTCACCCTTAGTACACGTGTCATGACCATTAGATGCCATTAAATTTTTACTTTTTCTATTAAAATTACATTTATTTTATTCCAGATTCGCCCCTCACAAGACAAGCTGGCTAGTCCTAAGAACTGCTGGAGGGAACAGATGTCCATATTATGCAACACAGCTCACACGCTAATAGAAGCCATATTTTCTAACACCATAAATATTTACAAAAACAATCGCAGTGTCAAGGTAAAGATAATGTTATGCCAAGGTCAACAAGCTGAATAGCTTAGTAGATTGTCAGTGTCATTGTAAAACAGCTGACTTATTATTAACCAAAGTTACAGTACAATAAATTAAAGTCAAAGTCAAAATCATTTATTCCAACTAAACCATAAATAGGTACTTTTGAAACGTCAAAATAGAAAAGTAGTCTGTCAGTGTTCCTCAGTGAATTCCAAATTGTAGATTTGAATAGAGAAGAACAAGAAAGAAACTCCATCATTACTCTTTTTAAAAAAAATGTATCTTTTACATTACATTATTATGCATTAATTTATTAAATGCCTATTTGGCATAACAACACATTTTTTTTTTATTACTAACATAAAAGTGCTATAAAATACATAATTATGTAATTATTTATGTCAATTGGAAACCCCTAGTAACTTGGGAAAATAGCAGTTACTTTTCTTATTTTTTATGTCTTTGTACAGAGCTACAGACACACAAAAACTTGTCTTCTTTTTCTATATTATAAATTCTCACAATTTCTTACACATTTCTGGTTAATTAACATAGTTTTAAGTTATCAATAAATATTCACCACAGCCTCACAGAAGACCGGCGTGAAACAACCATAGCGTTGTTTCGCCGTGTGAGTGAGGTTACCGGAGGCCCAATCCTTCCCCGCCCCCAATCCCTCCTCAATCCCTAAAAGGTCGGCAACGCACTCGTAACTCCTCCGTTGCGGGTGTCCATGGGCGGCGCTTATTGCTTGCCATCGGGTGATCCGTCTGCTTGTTTGCCGACCAATTACATTGCAAAGTGATGATGGCACTAAGTTATCTTAATCTTGAAATATTTTAATTTTTAGAAAAAGGATGCAGAACTCTTGGGCAACAGTCCATTGACAATAGCACTATCAAACATCTTGAGTGTAAAGAAAACACATGGATCTAGCAGTGAAGAGAAAAAGATGGTGCTGTGTAATAAGCTCAGAAATGTATTTGTCTTCATTCAGGCTATGTTGGTGTAAGTATATTTTATTGTTTTATGACTGGAAATTATATCATGAACTTTCTTTTCTTTTGAAATAAATATCGCCCCACACTAGGATTTTCTCCTGTGTCGTAAGTGTGTTTACAAACATACAATTTCACATGCACATCACACCCAGACCCGGAACAAAAATCTGTGGATCACACAAAGAGTTGTTCCGTGCGGGAATCGAAATCGCGAAACGTTGCGCGGCAGCAGCCACCGCACCAACCGTACAGTCAAACTGCTTAGAACTGCTTTATCAATCAAGAGGGCTTGCGTAACGCTGCCAAGCAATGGCTGTAAATATGCATATCTGGGTTAGTGATTGAAGAAAGTTAATCCTCTCCTTTTCTGTTAAGGCATTAGAAATCACAAAACTTTCAGACTGAGACACAGTGAAATATATTTGTGATAGGATAAACTGACTTTATGCTACATTACCGGTTAAGCAAACTATGGTGTCTTTCATTGTATTTACAATGTGAAAGTGTGGCCAGAATATGCTCTAGGCAGCTCTTTAGCCTGCAACATGTTGTAGTCACAATTTATGAACAGAACAGCCAAGTACATTTTATAATCTTTCATGGATCTCAGGTTTGATTTGAACGCAATTTCTTCACTATTTTCATCCAAAAAATACTCTACTTCGAGAATTTTTTTCTCTTTACGTACTTTAAAAATAATATTAAAATAATTTTAGAAAAAAGTGTATTGTTAGTGTAATAATCGGTTCATCGGTTGGCGCGTGCGGGCAACCTGCTGTCGCGCAACGTGTCGCGGGATCGATCCCCGCAAGGAACAACTCGTAGTGCGATCCACGAATTGTTGTTCCGGGTCTGAGTGTGATGTGTATGTGAAATTGTATGTTTATAAACGCACCCACGACACAGGAGAAAATCCTACTGTGGGGCAACATTAATAAAAGTATTAGTTAACCGCTTATTTTTTATTTTTTTTTAAATCTAATTTTATAACAGTTATATAAATAAGACAGGAAGTGGCAGTTAGACACTCCTCTATCCCTGCTCAGCAGACTCACAAGTCTCAGCCATCTTGCCGCACATGGAGTTAATTTTTATTTATTTCTATATTTATAAAAAAATAGTTCAGTGGATCTGCTGTGCAGAACAGTATCGGTTCCCTCTTATAGGTAATATCAAATAATCTTAATATGTTTACAGGGAAGTATACCCAGTAGCCAAACCGGTGCAACCTCAAGTGATATTAGAAGTGATAGTGCAGGCACTCAGTGTCTCCAGCAGTGTCAGTACTGATGCCGTGGAAGCTGGCACTGTCAAGACACAGGCACTTAGGACTTTGGATGCTCTCATACTATGGTAAGTTGAGAGCAATTTATTTCATTAATATCTGAATTATTGGTGTGAATGTAATATTTTTGTTGTAAACCTAGAGTTATACAAAATACTGGAGATTTTATATTTAGGAAATCTTTTTGTCTTAGTGTTTCATTGAAAACAGTGTCTACAATGAGCTTGTTTCTATTATCCATGAATCTTAATTCATCAGACCCCAAGCGAACGTCATCAAGCATTCTTGCACCTATTGTTCTTGTTCAGCTTGCTACAGCTGTTTAACTGGACTAACCACTGAGGTGATCGCTAAGCTGAGGCCCCCAGCTTGAAGCTGAATACAATATAAATTAAAATACATATGTGCAGTTCTGACCAATCTTGATATTAAAGAAATTCATTGAACTTTATTTTCTTAAAGTCATACAAAAATAATTTAACAAAGTTTTACTGAATAATCATTAAAAAAAACATCTGTATTAATTCATTTACATCATAAACTTACTATTTTTTTGCAGTTTGGGGCCAAACCTCATTCCTTTCTCTGGATTAGTGTTCAGATTTATAATGCAGACACTTAAATGGAGTTCAGAGAATCCCAGTGATCAGTCAAGGTAATTAGTGCAATATTGACAGTAAGTGGATCTTATTACTGTTATTATTGATCTTATTTTTTTATCAATTAAATTTTTAGCATAAAAACGTGCAAGTTGTTCTTTCTTTGAAAAGTAATATGTTATCAACTAAATGTATAATTTTTTTTTTCATTAGCTAAAATTTTTCTTTCATTAACATTTTTTCGTACATGCAACCTTTTTAAATTGGGAAAGTCTTATGTCATAGATATTGGTGCATGTAAAGAAACATTTAAAAATCACAATGAGATGCCACAAAAATACCACCTTACTGCAACATACCAGTAATATATCTTTATACATAATTCCTAGAAAAGTCCGCATAACAGCATACAACAGCCTGAGCAAATGGTTGAGTATTCTACACGCGCACCGCGTCTCCGGCGAAGGGAGGGCGCGGTCCTGGGAGGACGACCTCACCAAACATATCATTCAAGATATCACACCACCTAAGAAGATTGTACAGCTTACTGTGAGTATTGGAACATCTATACTAATGTTATAAAGCTGTAGAGTTTGTTTGTTTGTTTGAATACGCTAATCTCCGGAACTACCTACTACCTACAAGTTCGAATTAAACAATTTCGTGTTTGTTAGTCCGTTTTTCGAGGGAAAATAATAAGATATCAAATGGAGCAACGGGTAAAACCGCGCGAGAGTAGCTAGTATATCTACACTAATATTATAAAAAATGGAAAAGTAACTCAATACAAATATATCAGCAGGAATACAAAAAAATCAGCAGGAAGTCACTATTCCACGCGAACGGAGACGCGGGCAAAAGCAAGTCAAAATATTTTAATTAAAGAGTTCAGAAGATCCTTCTTCCTAAGCAGTTGTTTTTTCCACATGTATTTGTTTTTTGTGTAGTTTGATAATTCTAAGTAATAGGTATGATATATAGTATAGGATGATTCATGATAGCACAAATTTAAACCTTAGTGGTTTTTTGGTTGCTATTTAACATAAATAATCCTGTAAGATTTGTAAAAATGATAAATAAATAAAAAAAGGTATACCAATTTTATTTACATTCATGTTTCATTAAACCTTTTTTACAGATGAGCAATCAATATACTAAAAACTTGAGTAAAAAAGCTAAAAGGAAGCTAGCGAACACAATGCTTCAACAAAGTACAATCGCCAGTCATATGCCCGGCGAGAAGAATAAAATAGATGTGTAAGTAATATTTTATTTCATCGTTATTATTATGTATCAATTTGCAAAATGTAGATAAAGAGAGGAGGGGAAGAGAAGAGAGAGAGGAGAGACAGGTGGGAAAGAGAGGAGAGAGAGAGAGAGAGAGAGAAAGAGGGGACAATTATCTGATGATAAGCAATTAGCGGCGCCCATGGAAACTTGCAACTTAGAAGAGTTACGAGTGGGTTGTGACCCTTTTCGGGATTCGGATTTCGGGAGGGGAACGGTAAGGATTAGGCTTCCGAGATCGCCATTCACGCGGCGAAACTCAACGCTGTAGCTGTTTCACGTGGCTGTTCAACGCTGTGTGCTTTTTTCGAGCTGTGCCATTCATGCCGTAATCTGATTCTCCCTCAGCTATAATTAATTATAAATATTTTTTGCTGAACTATGACTATATCGTGCCTGCGTGCGCGAGACACAGCATTTATGCTGAGCGCTGCCCTTTTTCACGCATGAGTGACGCAATTGTAGTGCTTTTCTTTTTTTTATGTTCATTGCTTGTTTTGTCCCTTTTTAACTATAATCGTGTGTGTGTGTTTCTTGCGTCATTTGTGTGTGAAATAAATGGTTTTTCTTTCTTTCTTCTTTCTTTCTTTTCTTTCTAATAATGTAATTATTATTTGTAGCTCTGAGAAGTCAAGTGACGAGGTCGCTAACGCGGCGCTAGATTGTGCCGAAACATTCCTCACAGTCAGTGGAATATTTTTGAAACCAACCACACACAAGGTAAGTTTTGAGTGGAAGTAAATGGAGTAACCGACTACCTTATTAAAAAATAAGGGTTTTTTTATTTCTTTATTAAAGATATTACATTAAATTTATGAAATAAAAAATAGTCCCACAAAACTGTATTCACAGTTTGAGTGTTTTATACTGTGTGTTTCTCTTTAGTCCTTTTTTGTCAGGGGAAAATCATCAAATGACTTCTCCCGAGAGAGAGTGTCAGACTCTTACTGACTAAAAACCGAACTCCAAATTAAATCAAAGAACCAAAAACATATACTAGCTTGGCAAAATTATTAATGTTAATGTTAAATTTTCTTTCACAGATGTTCCAAGAACGTCTGGTACGTGAATGTTACAACTTAGATTCGTACAGCGTAGAGCGCTCTTTGAGTTTGCTCCGTGCGTTGGAAGGCGCGCGCAAGAACACACCGACCAATGTACCACCGCCCACTCAGTACTGTCTGCAGCTATACAGTGTTCTCGTTAACAGTCGATGTGATCAGGTAATTATTTTAATACTAGCTTCCGCCCGCGGCTTCGCCCGCTTGGTACCAAGATAAAAAGTAGATGGCCTATTACGGAGTGTATCCTATACCTGTGCCAAATTTCATCCAGATCCGTCCAGCCGTTTTGGCGTGATTGTATTGCATGCATTTATAATATTAGTAAAATTAGCGACCTATTAAAGCCCAAATTTTAATAGAAGTTATGTACTACTCTGTCAAGAAAGTACCGGGAAAAAGTCAATAATACACAAAATGTTTGTTATTCATCTAAATTTATTTTATCACCTTCAAAGTATGCTCCTTCAGAAACGATACACTTACGCCAACGAATAATCCAATCATCGAAACTTTTTTTAAACGCTGTTTCCGGAATTGAGTTCAGTGCTCGCCGCGAATTCTCCTTTATGTCTTCTAACGATTGAAAACGGGTGCCACGAAGGGGTAATTTGAGTGTGGGAAAAAGAAAGAAGTCGGTTGGAGCCACATCTGGTGAATATGGTGGCTGCTCGGTGGTGTTTGTTGCGTGTTTGGACAAAAAATCGTTTACAATGATCGCCTTGTGCGAAGGCGCATTATCGTGATGCAAAATCCAAGAATTTTCTTTCCACATTTCTGGTCTTTTTCGTCGAATTTGTTCTCTTAAACGCCGCATAACGCTCAAATAATATTCTTTATTTACCGTTTGACCTTCGGGCAAGAATTCTGAGTGCACAACACCGCGATAGTCAAAGAAAACAGTCAACATGACTTTGACTTTTGATCGACTTTGACGTGGTTTTTTCGGTTTTGGTTCAGTTGGAAGGCGCCATTCCGAAGCTTGTTGACTAGTTTGCATGTCAAACTCGTAAACCCACGTCTCGTCACCAGTAACAATGCTTTTCATGAATGTTGGGTCGGTATTGACTCGTTCTAGCATGTCCTCAGCGACTTTCATGCAATTTAGTTTTTGAAGAAAATTCAGGTCTTTTGGGACTAGCCGAGCGGCAACACGTTTCATACCCAAATTATTTGTTAAAATGGTACGGATCGACTCGTGAGATACAGAAAGTTCGGCGGCCATCTCTCTCAAACTTGAATGAGGATTTTCAGTCACTATTTCCTTCACTTTTGCGATGTTAACTTCAGTTGCGTTGATGGCCTACCAGAACGAGGCAAATCTTCCATCACATCTCGACCGCTTTTGAACGCTTTGTACCACTCATAAGCACGTGTTTTTGATAAAGTCGATTCACCGTAAGCCTTCTGTAACATTTTGAGTGCCTCCGAACACGAAATTTTATTGGCGATGCAAAATTTAAGACGATACTCTTTTTTGTTCGATGTTTTTGTCCATTATGAAATTCGCAATACACACTAGATATTATAAAACTAAAAACAGCACTGTTTTTAATATAAATAACAGATGCAACTCAAATTCCGCGCCAAAATGGAAAACAGTTATGCCAATCTAACAACAACAAAAAAAAATTAAAATTCAAATTTGGAACCATAAAAAAAACATTAATTCCCGATACTTTGTTGACTGAATGTATACTAATATAATAAAGAGATATATTTTTAATTTATATGTTTGTATGGGGGGGGGGGGGGTAACTATTGGAACCAGTAACTTTCTTTCACTGATAGTTAGCTACACAATATTACTATGCTATAGGCTATTAAATATGAAAAAAAAAACATTACATCTATGGGACCTTAACCGCTAGAGGCGCCATCTTGCCATATTTTTCGTTGCCAATTTAGGCGCAAGTAAATATTACGTAATATTAATTACTATGATTCTTTCCACAGATAAGGAAGTTCAGTTCACAAGCGCTGTTGGACATTCGGCTACACCTGCACTGCTCGCCACCCTCCATCAACTTCGCTATAGATGCACCAACAGAATCTAAGGCCCCGAAAAATAAAAAGGAAATATCGAATAAGAACAGAGAAGCACTTGAGGCGTTATTAGGAAAAGAAAGGTTAGTTTCAGTTATAGAATACTAGCTTATCCCCGCGACTTCGTTCGTGTGGCAAAGTGACTTCCTGCAGATTTTTGGTATAAAAATTATGTCCTTTCTCGAGTTTCAAACTATGTCTGTACCAAATTTTACAGAAATCGATTCAGTAGTTTAGGCGCGAAGAAAAGACAGTCAGACAGCCAGACAGGGCTACTTTCGAATTTTTAAAATTAGTTTGGATTATCAAGTTTATTAGAACTATTAATAAAGAGGGTGATAGCTTATGTATTCTAGAGATAATTTTCCTTTGAAAATTCATAAAGTATGGTAAATATTTGTTCACAGAATGCCACCTACACGGTCTGCAGAAGATTCAACAGAAGCGCCAGCTACCAAAAAGCCACGCTTAGATGATGATAGAATTAGTATCAGTAGTGAATCCAACGCTTCCCTCGTAATCTCAGACGGCACAGATGATGAAATCGAAGAAATAAATGAAAAACAAACAGGTGGTGATGTGACTATTGAAGAAGAAATAGAAATTGTCACAGAACAAGGTGATACTCAAGATCAAACTAGTGAACACAGTAAACAAACATCCAATACCCCATGTATGACTGTCGATGACTCCCCAGAACCAACTAATGGTCATATTGTCGTGCCAAATGAAACTTCCATTTTCGATGCTAAAACGCAAGTTCCAATGAACACTTCACACGATACTATAGATGGTGATAAAAGCCCAACCTCCTTAGAGATAGTTTATGATGCTCCCAACACAAGCAGTAAAGTAGCCATGATAGAAAAGATGGATGACGACAATCTTCCCAGTACTAATGAAACAGATGACGTTCAGATAACCTGTGGACAAGCCATTGTGGGCTCGCAAGGATCGGAATCCGCGATGAACAACGTGGAAGTTGAAGTAGAAGTATCTACAACGAGCCAGAACGGCACTAATGAAGTTGTAGAATCGGAAGAGACTGTAGATACTACGCAAAATGATAATGAAACAGCCAATAAGAATATTGAAGTTACAATAACTAGTAAAGAAGTTACAATAGAAGACATGTTAGCTGATTTCGTTGACGAAGTCAATGATGAGCCAAGTGTAGTAGTTTAAGCGCAATTTTTTGATTATTGTTATTATAAGAGTACATATGTATCGCTTCCATGATTATATATTAAAAGAGTAATTAATTCCCATCTATCAATAATGTTTTATTTTAACTGTCCCAAATTAAATCGGCTTAGTATCTAAATATAGATAAAAACATCGAGAATCAATTATATTTTCGGTCACGATTGGAATAGCATGGCCACGGAGTAGCATGGCAGTACATATTTTTATGCCTTATTGTACACTATTATTTCTCCCGCGCGGTTTCGATTTGTATGATATACTAATGTATTTTCAGCGTTTTATGACAAATAGATTATTCAACATGTAAAGATTGGTCCAGTATTTTCGGAGTTTATTCGGAATAAACTCTTACGCTTTATAAAAACTGTACAGTACTGTAGAGTGTAGCGAAAAAACACTGAGTAGTTCCAAAAGACTCATGTTCCAAACTAGAGCCGAGTATGACAGATGACAGCAGTTCAGTAATATTGTCAAAACTGTCAAATGAATGTTGATTGAATTGTAAACACGAGTTTCTCGTAGTATTCTATTCTATTGAATTTGCGTTCGATATATTTGAAAAATGGTTATAGCAATAGGATTTGAAGGCAGTGCTAATAAAATCGGCATTGGTATCGTCAAAGATGGGGAAGTTTTGTCCAATTGCAGACGAACTTATATTACACCGGCTGGAGAAGGTTAGTTTCCAAAAACCTCATTGTTGTTATTGTTTTTAAAAGTTGCTTTCGTAATTACTAATAAGATCTTATAATTTAAATAATTTTCTTCATTTTGCAATAAGCTATAAGATGAAATATGCAGCCAATATAACGAAATTATTCATATGATGTGAAAAATATGTTGTTTTGTTTACCTTTTAGTTAGACAATACAAAACTAAATTGCGAACAAAAATTCAGTGTTCTGATAACTTTGATAGTAAAAGTAGTTTTATTATCTTTAACAACATATAGGATATTCAAAAATTAACTTTAAGCTAATATTATACAACAATATCTAATAATGTCAAATAAATTATTATTCACAGGATTTCTACCCAGAGAAACAGCAGAACATCATAGACAAAAAATACACGAAGTTCTAAAGGAGGCCTTGGAACAGTCTGGCATAACACCTGACAAGATAGATGTAGTCTGTTACACTAAGGGCCCTGGTATGGGAGCTCCATTGATGGTGTGTGCTATAGTAGCGAGGACCTGTGCTAAACTTTGGAACAAGCCAATTCTTGGAGTCAATCACTGTATTGGGCGTATCCTTTTAAAATAATGGTCTGGTAATATAAGAAAGTGAAATGTTGTCTATGTACTCCACTTAATGAGAACATTTCTTATTTAATGTTTTATTGTTAGCTACATCAATTTTGAGTCAATGATAAAACTAATTATGCTTTGAAAATGTATTTGAATTTTGTAATATCAAATTTGTGTTAGTCAATTTATCCGTCAAGCTTGTACCAAATTGTGGATTAATATGGAAAAATCAATTTTTATTATGCGAAGTCATACACCAAAATGAGGTCACATTATTCACTTATAAATATCATTTATTGAGTCACATTATTTAAAAAAAAAACAGATTTAACTACAGATCATTTATTTTTACCCAAAAATTTCTGAACACATACCAACAGATATAGAAATGGGTAGACTAATCACCAAAGCCAATAACCCAACAGTTTTATATGTGAGTGGTGGCAACACACAAGTAATAGCTTACTCCAGGAACAGGTACCGGATATTTGGAGAAACCATTGACATTGCTATGGGGAACTGTTTAGACAGGTATGTAATAATCATTGTGGTTTTTATAATATTTTTTGACTACATACAGAATTTTCTTTGTACGGGTATTGAGTAGTTAACTCCGTACACTGATTTGTCGTGAAGATTTGTAAGTTGAGTTAGTATAGGTAGAGAAACACTTTTCCACTTAAATAGACACGTTAAGTATATTTATGTAAAAGTAAATTACAACAGTGGAAGGCGATTATTTCTCTTAGTTGTTGATAGCTACTAAGTTGTAAGTTTTCTATATTATAATATGTCCGTCATCTCATTTTATTATGCGGCAGTGCGGGGCGCCTCGTTGGCCGAAAGTAGGTTGACGAGTAAGCAAGAAAAATGTACGGCGATGAGACCGTACATATTGGCAACCCCCTAAAGAAGCAAAATTGAGTAGAGAGAGAGAGAAAGAAACGCCTTTACAAAATCAAAAAAATGAGTAAAAAGTAAAAATAAATGTAAAATAAGTAAAATGAATAATTAAAAGTAAACGCAATGTTGTCTTGATGTCCTTGACGTTGAACATCGCAACCGTCTGTGGGTGACCGTTGGTTATCTTCTCTGACACTTTGTTGTTGAGATCCCATTGGTTGAAGCTCGATATCTTCATGTATTGGCTTTTTATTTTTCTTCCTTGGAACTCGTGTTTTGAGTACCATGCAGTATTTTCTTGTCATAATCAACAGGAAAGTGATGACAGCAATTGTTAGCAAAAGGTAACAAATTACATATTGATGTACGTCATGGTCTGTGATAGTGGATGGTAGTTTAGGCTCGTGCTCTTCTTGGAACCGAAGCTTTTTGTCAATCTCCGCGAAGTCGTATTCTTGAGGTGGAACAGATCATGTGGCGTGTTATGTAGTGTCACGTTAACAATGTTGTTTATCGGTGAATCAGGTGCAGTACGTGCATGTCATAGTTCACATTGAGGTTACTGTTGTACTGATTATGTGAAGTGATGGTGAGATCTTTTGATCGCAGTACGCATCCTTGATCCAAAGTTACTATAGCCGTTGATGTGATTGTCTGCGATATTACGTCGTTATCGCAAACTGTACGTAATTCGCACCTTCCGCAACAAACAACAAGCCAGCTGTTTGATTCATGTAACTTGATCCAGTCCTCCTCGCATGACACGCTATGTACGTCACACGGTGACGTAGAAGTACGGTGACCAGGAGTTTTGCTTCGCACGGTGCATTTTTGTTATGTAAGTTGAAGACTGGCATGTTAGCGGTGCAAATGAAGTTATGTTTTTGTCCTTTAATACACTGCTTGACATCTTCATCTTTTAATGAGATATAAGAATTCTTTTCAAAGTTTACGGCAATGTACTGTGAAGATAACTGCATCTGTTTGTAATTCGAGTCTCTCTTGAATGGTATAGCAATGGCCCGATAATATGTGAACTCCTCATCCGATATTAAGGGAATGTGAACTTCGAACATAAAGTAGTCATTGTTATTCTCGCTTTCACGTACAACAACTTGTAAAGTTCCTTAATATCTTCTTTGATATTTCTGTTGGCAATGACAATGTTCTCGGTAATTTGCCGGCTATGTCTTCTAGTTGTTTTACAAGATTGACTGGTGGTATCAAGTGCACGTCCATATGCCCACTGTATACATTTGTGAGAGTATTCAGAAGCATGGTTTGAATTTCTCTGAGATTTCGTAGCAGTAGGGATGCTGTGAGCGCCGCGGAGTTGAAGTAACTTGTTGCCATCGCTATCTGTATTTCAGTTTCAATGCTGGACTAGGTTCGTCTTAGTTTCTTCCATGAACCTTTCTATCATTTTACATTGAAGCTTGATGTTAGCATCGTTTTTCTTCAATACGTCATTTGCAGTTGCATAATCGACGTTTGATTTTTTGCCAATTCACGTAAATAGTTTTCGTTTTGTTGTATCGCTTCAATGTCTTTGTGGTATTTGTTAGCAAAATTTTGGTCTAAAACGCCGAATAAGCTGTTTGCTATCATGCCCACTCCGTCAATCAGGCCGCGCTTTTTGCGCGATGATAATTGCTTGTGAGGGGCCAGCAGAATTGTATTGTAGAAGTTGAGTAGGTCCATCTCATGGGAAAGTTGATCAATTGTAGGTTTGCAGTAACTTTGGTGGATCTTCTCGCAAAGGCCATACACACCGTTGATGTAACTGTCAATGTGTTGAATGCCGTGCCAGTAGTCAGTTAAATTGTAGTACGTAAGCAACGTCCATTCATCGTGAATCAGTTCAACCTTGCCAACGGTGTCATAATAAATAGGTCTCTCAGGTTCCAGGTTGGTAATTTGAGTGCCTGACCTTTGTTGGGAACCATCTGATCCATTCACAAGTATCAACATTGTGAAAAGAGACATAAATATGTTTGTAAGGCATTTTTTCATAGCTGGTATTCTTGTGGAGGTTTTTTCAGACGTCTCAGCATTTCGTAAGTCTGCCTTACTTTCTTCGTAACCTTTACTGTCAGTGTTGATCGGCAGAATGGATAGTTTTACGATGGGTCGTTTGATAACACCATTTTGGGTTTTTAAGGTTGTCACTCGGACATATCCGTCCGCTCCAGGGTGAAGTTTCAGCACCCGTCCCATGGCCCATTTTCCTGGGGGCAAATTATTGTCCCGGACTAATACGATGTCCCCTTCCCTTAAGTTTTTTTCTTGGATTATTCCATTTACTGCGTGTTTGTAGTTGAGAAAGATATTCGCTTGACCAAGTCTTCCAAAACTGTTGGTGCATGTGTTCTGTTAGCTGCCATCGGTTTCTTAGATTTTGTTTGTTTTCATCAGTATAGTCAGCACGTGGTAAAGTCATTGTTGGTCCCCCCGTCAGAAAGTGGCCTGGTGTCAGGTAGTTATAAAATTCTTCGGGGTCTTCAGTGAGAGGGCAGAGCGGCCTGGAGTTCATGCAGGCCTCTATCTTGGCAAGCAGGGTAGTGAATTCTTCGTACGTCAGTTTTTGGTCTCCTAGCACTCGACGAAGATGATACTTCATCGATTTGACCGCTGCTTCCCATAGTCCACCAGCCGTCGGCCAGGCCGGGGCATTAAAATGCCATTGAACTCCCATGCCTGCGATGTTGTTGAAGAAGTCAGGGGACAAGATTTGCTTGAAGTCTTCAAATTCTTTCTGAAGCATTCTTGATGCACCGATGAAGTTTGTTCCGCAGTCTGAGTAGACGTGACTTGGTGTACCACGCCTGGAACACATTCTCTGGAAGGCTGCTATGAAGGTGTCAGTACTTAGGTCCGATACAAGTTCGATGTGCACAGCCTTTGTTGCCATGCACACGAATATGCATATATATCCCTTAGAAGTACGTACTCCTCTTCCTTTATTGAGTTTGACTTCGACGTGTCCTGTGAAGTCAACTCCGGTGTGGGTGAACGGTCGTGACGGTGTTACTCGTTGTGGTGGGAGGTCTCCCATTAGTTGGTTAAGTTCCGAAGGCCTGTGGCGGTGACAGCGCACACAGCGCCGAAGTCCAGCTTTTACAGCTCTATTGCCGCCAATGATCCAGTATCGTTGTCGAATATATGCTAAAGTTAGCCTGGCCCCACCGTGTAAAGTCGTGAGGTGAGCCTTTTGTATCAGAAGTTCAGTAAATCGCCCACCCTTAGGTAGAATAACTGGATTTTTCATTTCAAAGGATAAACTGGAGTAGTTCAGTCGACCCCCAACTCGGATTATGCCTTTGTCGTCCAGATATGGTTTAAGTTTATAAATGTTGCAATTCGACGAAATATTTTCTTTCTTCATTAATTGTTTGTATTCTTGCGCAAGTTCCGTTCGTTTGCACATATTTTATTATTAGTTCCTCAGCATTGCTTAATTCGCAAAAACTGAGGCAAACGGTGTCACGTTTTGTGCTATTACGTGCATTTCCGAGAAATCGTCGTATCCATGCTACAATCCTGATTGTTTTGGTCAATGAACTGCAATTATTTAATAAGTTATGAATACAATTATTATGACTTGAATTTTTTTTTTGCGTTCATTTTCGCTTGGCTTTCGCTGCCTAAGTTAGTCGTAAATGTGCATGTTATGTTTTCTTCACGACTTTGTTTTTGGAGTGTAGTCAGAAATGTAGGGCCTTGCCACCACAAGCTGAAGGTTGTTAGCTTTGATAGTGTTAATCCTCTTGAGGCACAGTCTGCGGGGTTATCTTGAGACTTTACATAGTTCCATTGCTCTGCTGGTATGCATCGTCGAATCTTTGCAACTCGATTGGCGACGTATTTTTCTCTCTTAGATGTGTCCCCCTGTATCCAGGCTAAAACCACTTGAGAATCGCACCAAACGGTCGTGGTGATTTCGAACTCATTCAGCGCTTCTTTAATTTTTTTGATGAGTGCGAAAGTAAAAGTGCGCCACATAGTTCAAGTTTCGGTAATGTAATAGATGATAGCGGTGCTACTCTTGTTTTAGCAGCAAGTAATGTTATAGTGGCCTTGTTTTGTTCATCTCTGACACAGCTGTAAACCACGCAGGAGTAAGCTTTCTCACTGGCGTCGCAGAATCCAAATAGTTCGATCTTCTGCTCCATTGAACCGAGCCAGCGCTTAACATTTATGTATTTTACGTTGGTTATGTCAGCTCTAAGTTTCAGCCATTTATCTGCTATATGCAACGGTAACTGATCATCCCAATCAAGTTTGTTGACCCACACTTCTTGAAATATAATTTTTGCCGCGATAGTTATCGGCGATAGCCAACCCAGTGGATCGTAAAGTTGCGAAATTTCAGAAAGCAGTTGCCGCTTGGTTATTTTCGGTAGACATTTTTCTTGAAATTTCCAGTTAAAAACAAATGTGTCGGCCCGCGGATTCCAACCAAGTCCTAGAGTTTTCATGGTTTCATCTTGCTTGAAATCAAAAGTGATCCTGCTTGAAATCTGGTCACCCTTTAAATTCTTTAATAATGTTGGTTCATTACTGGACCACTTGCGTAAATTCATCCCGGCTCCTTTTAACATTTCGATAAGTGATGTTTGGAGTTCTAGGGCCGCATTCAGTGAGTTGTGGCCGCTGATGACGTCGTCGACGTATGCTTCATTAAGTAGTACTTTGGCGGCCGTGGGGTATTTGTAACCGTCGTCAAAGGCAAGTTGTTTGATTGTTCTCATGGCTAACCACGGTGCGGACTTAGTGCCATAAGTAACAGTACACAGTTGATACTCTTGCAATTTATCTGACGAATTAGGTCGCCAGATAATTTTCTGCAAATGTTGTTGTTCCTCAGACAGCCAGATGCATCGGTACATTTTCTCGATATCCGCTGTGAAAGCGTATTGGTAAGTTCTCCATTTTATTATGAGTTCTTGGATATCTTTTTGTAGGTTGGGGCCTTTTTCTTGTAAGCTGTTTAGGCTGTATCCCGTTTTAGTTTTCTGAGATGCATTGAAGACTACTCTGAGTTTTGTGGTAGTAGACTCTTCTCTAAGTACTCCGTGGTGTGGTAAAAACATTCAATGGTTGAGGTTGAAGTAGGAATGGGTTTCGTTAGCTTCATGTGGCCCAACTCTTGATATTCCTTGAGGAAGTTTTTGTATAATAGTTCAAGTCGACCATTTCTTTGAAACTTTCTTTCAAGCTGCAACAATTGTGATACTGCGATATGTTTTGATTCTCCGATCTTATGTTGAAAATCCGGACATAAGGGCATCTTCACAGTGTACCTTCCATCTGAATCACGGCGAGTCGTTTCCTTGTAGTAAGCTTCGCACTGATCCTCTGGTTCTTGATCAGTGTTTTTTTATGGTGACTTCTTCACTCTCCCAAAATTTTGCTATTTCAGATAAGTCTAGGAGAGTGACGTTACACTTAAAAGTTTCTAGTTTTCCACACAAAATCCATCCCAGTTGTGTCTGTTGCGCAACGGGTGACCTTGGGGTGCCTTTTAGTACTCCATCCTGGATAATTTCGGCATAGACGTCAGCTCCAAATAAAATATCAACAGATCTTGAAATATTAAATTCGGGGTCGGCTAGTTTTATGTCTTTTAAATACGACCACTCTGGTCGTTCAAATGTGTTGTTTGGGAGTTTGTTGATAAGTTTTTTCATAATCAAAGCTTCAGTGTTAAAAGTATACTCCGAGTGGATTGATTTGCATGTTATGCTTAGTTGTCCCTTACAGTCGCCTGAGACGGATCCAACTCCTGATATCTTTGCAGTTAATTTGTTTCTTGGTAGTCTCAGAAGTTGTGCTGCATTTTCAGTGATTAGGTTGACTTGTGAGCCCTGATCTACAAGCGCACGCAGGTTTATGTAAGTCCCATCTACCGTCATGACCTTAACTTGGACAGTTGTGAGTAAAACTTCCATGTTGTTGGCAGACAAATGATTAGAGCTCGCTGTTCCAGTTTCTTTAGATGGTCGTTGACCTGAACGTTGATTTTCCGTACTCGTTGAGTTTGCTATTTTATTATGAGATTTGTTATAATGCAATAGCGTATTATGATTCATATTGCATTCTTTACAAGTCTTCACAGAATTGCAGGTTTCGTTTTCGTGTCGAAATAGGCAGTTTTTGCATAGACGCAGTTTTGCAACTATGCTGTTTCGTTGCTTTGTATCCGAGTCAATAAACTGCGGGCATCGCATCAAAACATGATTATTTTTGCAAAGAGGGCATTGCCCGTATGAAGTATGGTAAGTTTTGAGTTGCCATTTTTTATGCTCGTAATTTCGAGACGCATGTTTTTCAGTCCCAGCCGCCTTTTCTGCGCTCTGTGACTCTTTCTTGGAACTTTTCATGGTTTCAAATGCTGTGAATTGATTTTCTAAGAACGTCAGAAATTCTTGTAGTGTAGGCACTTCTCTGTTGTCCTGCAAACTCTTTATATACTCATTGAAGGTGCCACAGTCTAGTTTCTGTGTCATCAAGTGCACAATCATGGGATCCCAACTAGTGATGTCAAAGCCGATGTTAGTTAGGCCGTTCAGACATTCTGTTGTAACGTCATGCAGCTTCTTCAAGTTATAAGCGTCGGGCTTGTGTATTACAGGCAACTGCAGCATCGTATTCATAAATGACGAGAATTGTAGTCGACGGTTGTCGTAACGTTGAGTCAGAATCGCCCAACATGACGAGTAGTTGTCAGCGCTAATGCTCAAGTGTTGCACCAGTCTTTCTGCTTCGCCTTTCAGCTTGGTTTTAAGATGCTGCATTTTTTGAGCTTTATTTAATGTTGGGTTTTTGTGGATCGTTTCAAGGAAAAGGTCTTTGAAAGATATCCATTTGTTGTAGTGACCCGAAAACTCTGGGATCTCGATTTTTGGCGCTGATTGTTGATGATGAGCGGTGGACCACATCTTGCTTTTCAATAGTTTTCTCGCTTCGTCATATTTGGCTTCCATGCTGTTGAACATTTCATTGTATGAGTTTTTCGATCCTTTCAGTAAGGCTTCTAGTTCCCAATGAGTGCTGTCAATACGCTCCCACTTTGACTTCAAGATTGCCAAGTAATCGTCAAGTTCCCATTTTTCGCTTACGTTATCAAAATCTATTTTACCCATAGCTCGATCAATGGCCTTAAAGTTACATTCTTGTTGGGTCAGTAGAGTCTTTGTCTTCTCATCAGCTTCTCCCGCCGATAAGTCTGACAGGTCAAATTTCACATTCTCCTCTGCAGCTTGCAATAGCTTTACCATGTCAGCTTTAGTGTTTTCGTACATGATTTTTGTCTTACCGTAGATATCGTCCATAAAATAGTTAATATTTTTATCTTCGATTTCTTGCGACAGTAGTGTATGTCTTGTATTAAAATCCACCCATTGAGCTTCTAACGATGTCAGCCGCTTGTTCAAATATTCTTTTGTTTTTTCTTGTTTTGCTATCCTTGTTGTAGTTGTTGCATAATGTTTTGATGTTTTCAAAACATGCTGATTGTAATGCCAGCTTATTCATCTTGAATACAGAAGAGTTCTTCTAGTTGACGAATGCTGTGTTGGTGTAGTTGGATTCAGTGGTTGAAGAGCTTCTAGTTGTTGAAGTTCTTCTGGTAGTTAGTTGAAAGTTTTCTTCCAGTATTCAATGTGCCTGTACTCTAAATAGGTATGTGCGCCTTCTCAATCCAACTGGGGCGACCCGCTTGTGGGAGACCAATTGGACCGATTCGCTACCGTTTCTAGAGACACAAACACACCAAAATACACGAAGGCTCGAAGGACCATAAATGTACGGGTATTGAGTAGTTAACTCCGTACACTGATTTGTCGTGAAGATTTGTAAGTTGAGTTAGTATAGGTAGAGAAACACTTTTCCACTTAAATAGACACGTTAAGTATATTTATGTAAAAGTAAATTACAACAGTGGAAGGCGATTATTTCTCTTAGTTGTTGATAGCTACTAAGTTGTAAGTTTTCTATATTATAATATGTCCGTCATCTCATTTTATTATGCGGCAGTGCGGGGCGCCTCGTTGGCCGAAAGTAGGTTGACGAGTAAGCAAGAAAAATGTACGGCGATGAGACCGTACATTCTTTATACATATACCTTCTGACTAATAGTCTTATGATGTGATAATGTGAAAAACTAACTGCATATTATTCATTCTTAAAAAAGTAATGTTTTTTTATTGAAAATAATCTACAAAGAAATATATTCTCAATATAAGATATATTGATTATTCTAGATTTGCAAGAGTGCTGAAATTGTCTAACGCGCCAAGTCCAGGATACAACATAGAGCAAGCTGCCAAGAAGGGAAAAAAATTCTATCAACTTCCTTATTGTGTAAAAGGTAATGAAATCTAAAGACGGCTTTATTTAACTCCAATAAATTGCCAATGGCTGCATCCTTAATGCTTTAACAATTCTGCGTAAAAATGCGCTGGTTCTATTCCCGCACAGTATCATTCGGATACAGAAAACATTTTAGATATTCATATTATTAGCTCCTTAATGCAGCAGCTTTAACCATGTTACCCAGATAAAAAGTGTTATTTATTCCGCGAATTTTCATCGAATTTCATTCAGTAGATTTTAAATGAAAGAATAACAAACACGTATCCATCCATCCTTAGTTACAAACTTTCATATAACAATAGAAGGATCACCCACAACACAACAGAAAAAGTTAGCAGAAGCAACCTCATTCTTTAAAAGAAGTATGAAAATGATCTTGTATTTATTTTATGTGATAGGTCGGCAAACGAGCAGATGGATTACCTGATGTTAAGCAATCAGCGCCGCCCATGGACACCCGCAACAGAGAAGTTATGAGTGCGTTGCCGACCTTTTAAGAATTAGGGATTTGGGGATTGAGGTGCGATTGGGGGAGGGGAAGGATTGGGCCTCCGGTAAGCTCACTCACATGGCGAAATGCAACGTTGTGGTAACTTCACGCCGGTTTTCTGTGAAGCCGTGTCTTGTATAATATTCCTTATATTTACACTTATTTCAGGTATGGATGTGAGCTTCTCAGGTATACTATCGTACATGGAGGACAAAATAGACGATCTGCTGAAAACATACACACCTGAAGATTTATGCTATTCACTGCAAGAAACTACATTTGCCATGTTAGTGGAAATCACTGAGCGTGCTATGGCGCACTGTGGATCTGATGAGGTAATTAAATAATATTTACATAGTAACTAATTAACTAAGAGTCTTCCATTCGATCTCCCGCGGGTCAAGAGCAATGGGGCACCGTGGCCTCGGCTGGAGCAGGAGAAGGAACGGGGATTTTAAGTCAGTAAGAGTCTGAAACTCCCTCTCTCCATACCCTAGGCGAGAGAAGGAATTGAATGATTTCCCCTCCTCAAAAAAGTTTTTTTTATGTAATTGGTCGGTAAACGAGCAGACGGATTACCTGATGGTAAGCAATCAGCGCCGCCCATTGACACCCGCAACGGAGGATTTACGAGTGCGTTGCCGACCTTTTAGGGATTAGGGATTTGGAGATTTAGGGATTGAGGAGGGATTGGGGGCGGGGAAGGATTGGGCCTCCGGTAACCTCACTCACACGGCGAAACACAACGCTATGGTTGTTTCACGCCGGTCTTCTGTGAGGCCGTGGTATCACTCCGGTCGAGCCGACCCATTCGTCCCAAAGCATGGCTCTCCCACACTTAAGTTCGCTATGGACTATAAAACTACAGCATTAAGTTTTAGAAGAATTATAAGGTATTGGTATTATCCTGCCTACCCTCTTAAAATATATACTACTTTAATTTAACCGAAGATTAATCTTTCATTAGCCTGAGTGTCTAGTGCAAATTCGCTGCATGTTATTACGATTCAAAAATTAAGTCGTTGAGCTCTCTGATTGGTTAGTTTTTTTGGAGCAGGCCGATCATAGAGCCGAGTACCATAAACAATAATAACACTAGGCTCTTTGTTACAAAGATAACATAGGTTCCATAAGTTGGATTTAAAAAAGGCAATGGATTTGTTTCATACAGTTATTTTATAAAATGTAATTTATTACAGGTACTGATAGTCGGTGGCGTTGGCTGCAATGAACGCCTACAAGAGATGATGGGAGTTATGTGTGCAGAACGAGGAGCCAAATTATTCGCCACAGACGAAAGATTTTGTATCGACAACGGGGTAATGATAGCTCACGCAGGCGCATTGGCTTTCCAATCAGGAGCCAAAATGGATTTCAAAGAATCAACTATCACGCAAAGGTTTAGGACTGACGATGTCTATGTTACGTGGAGAGAAGAATAAATATATTTTATATTGAATTTATTGTTTTGTTTTTTTTTGAGTTTGTAAATGTGAAGTTCCTTTTTTATTTGTCGACAAAAGAGCGTAATCGGCCCCGGTGGATTACCTAATGGTAAGTATCCGTCGCAACCCTTGGACACCGGCAACACCAATGGAATTTCAAGTGCGTTGCCGGCCTTCTCTCTCCAACTTCGGCATGTATGGGCTGGCACGCCGATGTGAAACCACGCTATTTCGCCGTATAAATGAACTTAACGAATGCTTAAATAATACTTTTATTTTTATTCAATTTAATTAAAACCAAACTCGTAAGTTACAAAAACTTTATTATATCAACCATTTATATTTGTTCAAAATAAGGATATCACTGCAAACTCATCGGGAGCCAACACGCAACAAATAACATTACAAACGTACCATTACTATTGCATATTCAAAATAAATTATATCCATATTGATTGAACTCTATGGGCATTAATAAAACTTAACAAGTAATGATTTACTTACAATAATATAAATAAATACTACAGAAATGCAGACGGAGAAATATTGCCAACAGCGATAATTATATTCATCATGAGCCAGTGTTGCCACATACTAAGCTGTTATTTGTGGGAAAGACTTTATAAGGCAATAATTTTTACCGTAAGTGAAACACAAGTTTTAAAAGGGAGATATTATTAATGGATATAAGTTGCTATCTCTCACAGCCTATGTTACTGTTACAATACTTAATACAATCGAAATAGTTCTGTTCGGGTTCGTTTTATAGCTCAGTATGTGGCGACACTAAATCAACTCACAGCATATCTACATACACTTCATAAAACGAATCCTAATCCTAAAATTTTTAACTGTCCTGACTAAAATATGAAACTTGAGAAAAAATTTAACCTATTTCTCAAATCTGGGCAACTTTCTAATATCCAACCAAAGGCATAATAGCATTTATGTTTAGTCAGAGAGCCCAGGGCCATGTGACATTACTTCCCTGGTAGTGACGGATGTCTGGTGGACAAGGGCTCTTGAGCTACTATTGTCGAGAGGAAAACAGTCAAAATAAATGACAGTGCATTCTCTCTACAAATACTATATTATAGTAGTTATATCAAAGAGTCCAGTAATATCGCAAAATGCTGTTAGACCAAAGTATTAAATTTTTCTGCCACCCAAAAGTTACATTTCATTTTTGTCCATAAAGCTTTAGAGAATAAATACAATGTCTTGTACTTATACATTTGAAGCCAGGTATGATAATATTTATTAGGTTTTTGGCAGTGCACATAGGTATAGTACTACACAAGTACAACTTGAAGACTTGAATAGCAATTTACATGTATTGTTTCCAAATATTTAGTACTGCACGAACAATGAAGTTACAGATGTGTCAATATTTCAAGTGTGTACAGAGCATGACTGTGGAATTTTTATAAGAGGAATTTTCTGAAAAAAATATTGTTCAACCATTACAAAAGTACTTTACAAGCAGCCTGCTTGCACAATATACTGAATTTTTTCCATGTAGCTTGCCATACACAAATTCTTACAAAACTTATACAATTATTGCTTTACAAATGGTACAAAATTTAGCCCTAATTGGCACTGGCTAGAAAACCACATACATCAAAGTGTTGATTATGTAATTCTGGTGTTAATTACAAAACTAAATTAAATTTCGTTGACTGATAAAGTGACTTGAACATATCCAACACAGGATTTAAACAAAATCAATGCAAAGTCCTTACAACAAAAATATGTACAAAGTACAGACATAGAACCTCCTTGTAAGGACTTCAGAAATTATAATAAATTAGACTATAAATAAAAAAAAACAAATGGAATAATATGAACAATCCGAGTGATATTTATAAAAGCGACAACAAAACGAGCTTATAATTATTTTATGAAGAAACCACAGAACATACTGTCCACATATTTTGTACTAGGACTCTCTCATAAAAGTCTTGGCTTGATACTGTAGCACTTATTTGCTTCAAGTCATGTCTCATAAAGTGTCTGCAATGTGTAGCCCTGTATAAACTATAATCCAAGTTACCTGTAATTATGGAAATATTATAAATATTTTTTTTTTTGTTATATTTAAGTGCAATACCAATGAAATGGCTAGTAACAACAGCTGGGTAATTCCTAGTATGCTTATAAGTCTAAAGACCAATAACTGGGTTACCAGAATAAAATAAGACAAACATAAGAGATATAATATTAATGTGTTAGGAATTAAATAAGGAATGTGGGTTAAGTACACATCATTCCATGATAAAACAGGTGTGATATGATATCAGGAATAGGAAAAATTAAATTCTACTATCACACCATAAAACAATAATTCTTGAACAAACATAACAATTGAAACAGCACAATATTTACTTTAACTTACCAAAAATCCAGCAAATGAAGTCATGAAGCCTTCCTTTGTTATTTCCCATATACCACCATATTCCTCTTCATCAATGTTTTGGAAATTGTTAACATAAAAGTATATCACTGCTGCATTTACTAGCACAAACCTGAAAGAGGATATAACAATATTAAAAACAGCAAAATATCTGATCATTTTCTACGATATTTATGAAACATACGATAGTAATTTTGTACTACGTAATTTAATAGTATTGATAATCTAACAAGTCAAATTAGGTATAGAAAAATTAAATATGAATCCTTACAGTAACAAACCAACGAAGCCTTTCATTGGCAGTAGGCCCCAAAACAGACCCAAAAAAATGCCCATAGCTTGTCGCATCCAATAGATGACGTCTAAAAACTCTTCCTGAAATTTGCGGAAACATATAATTGGTTAATTAATTGGATTTTTATTAACAAATTTGAGCGAAGTCTCGTGATTTCAAGCCTAACCTTGTCCGGCCATTCGGCGTTTGCAACTAACGCTCGCTTCCATGCTGAATCCTGTAATTTAACCTTATTGCTTCCATCTGCATTCTGCTTGCTTTTACTTGCCATTTTACAGCTATTTTCTTTCATTTAATAAAATAAATTCATGGGATTCTTTGGAATCAATAAGTCACTTGACACTTAATGAAAATCGTACACGTCATAGTGACATTGTAAATGTTGCCTGTCAAATGTCAATTTTCTTTTTCTATTTCGAGCACACTCAGGCTTTTTATCTACAGTGTTACAACAGCAATAATAATACCAAATTGGTAGATTTTTACTTTATAAGTTTTCCGTCTCCATGCAGTTTTCTAGCACCTAGATCGCCAGTATAGCAGATTTCTTAATAAATTACATTTACTAATATGCAATTAAAGTGATAAAATTGTTGATAGCCCCAGATTAGAAAAACGTCATAGCACTATTTGCTTCACAAAAAATCGGTTTTAGCCAGTAATCTCTAATCATATAGGTAGTCAATTACAACAACAAAGACAATATTCTTATAAACTTAATGTATGTGTATGGAATTGCAGGAATATAAATGAAGAAAAAAATTAATAAAAGCAATAAAAAAAGAAACGATTTATTAAAAATGCATTGATAATTCTATTAAGTTGGCTTATAAAGTAGGAGCAACCCTATTCTTTATTCTTTGTAGTCGTTCCGCCTCCATATTTTTGGTAATGTCCCAGCATTCTTTGTTGAGGGTGTCCAGCCCTCGGGAAAGACTGACCAACCGCGCCAGAACCAGCAACCGATGTAAATCGTCCGCCGTTACTGGATTATTTGAATCAGAATTGCTTCTCATTTCTATGAAATCGTCTTCAACAAACTGAAATAAAAAATATTGATATACACAATCAAACAAAACTGGAGATTCGGGGATATAAAATACTGGTTTACTGTTTCGAACATACATTACATTTTAAATATAAATCTTTTGTCTTGTATAACATCTCACTCCTTTATTTTCTCAAAGGCGAAGATAATATATATGAATTAGGGATCAATCAGATACCGATTGGATGTAGGAATGATTATTATACTGGATAATATGGTGACAGATTAGGGGGCGTCCATAAATTAAGTGAGGTGCTTTTTTAAATTTCCTGCCCCTCCCTCCCCCCTGGTGAGATGTCGTGAGACCCCCTCCCCCATCCCCAAATCTCACGTAAGTTTTTTTCAAAATTTGAGTTTCTTACGTAAACGCGGTGGATTGTTATTGTAAAAGAAAAATACAAATTTACATCGTCCTTTTATTAGTAAATGATTTTAATCGTACTACGGTTACGCATCTTAAGCATGTACAATCTGGATTAAATGGACCTAAACAGTTTAATTTTTTGTTTCAATCAGAAAAAAAATTGCGTGATATTTGACGAGACCCCCCTCTCTCCAACGTAAGATTAGATGAGATTTGACTCGATCCCCTCCCCCCCTTAAACACCTCACGTAATTTATGGACGCCCTTACGGATATGAAATTATTTCGGAATATCTGTAAGTTTCGGATAATTTCGGTTACGGATATAAAATTTTAGGGAATTTTAAAAGTAAATTAGAAACATAACGTCTCTAATTATCAATTTAACTTCGCCTATCCAATATCATCCGAAACTGTTATTTTGGATTCAGGTCATATTTTTTTATATCGGATATCCGATAGTTTCGTTACGGCTTCGAAGCTTCTTAATGATATGAATATTACTATAAAAACTTTTCTCTTACCTGCAAATCTTCACTTATAGTATACTTCACAAGCTTAAGACTAGTTAGGTACTTCCTAATGACGTTCATGATGTCTTCCTTCAAGTAATAAGTCGCTGCTTCGACGATAGCGTCGAATATTTTCAAGGAAGCTTCTTCAGGACGCAGTGGGAGATGGTAGTCACTCTGAAAGATATTTATAGTAATTAATTTTTTATTCAAAATTCTTTCATAGAAATCATTTTTCTTTAAATAAAAAAGCACTTATATTAAAATTAGAAATGCCTGTCTGTTGAATTTGAATCGTCGCTTACGGTCGAAATGTGTCGCCAATCAAATTAAATTTAATATCTCAAATTTTTTAATAATGAGCCGGCTCAGAGTTGTACAAGGACCCCACATTTCTATAAATGTGGTGGTCCTATGACCACTTGTAGTTCGGTATGCTACGACTGTTCACTACTTAACGGAACTAGGCCCTGATGTAGCCTCTGGTGGCCCCTAGGGATACCAACTTAATGCCTAAATCTCACTTTTCCTCAAAGGCCGATCTTTCAATTTCTCGGATATTGCGGTTGCCGGTGCTATGGGCGGCGATTGATGTGATTTATTGTTTTTACGTCTCATTAGTAAGTTACTCAATACTGTCAACTAAAAACAAAACTTACCGGTAACAAAGATTTTCCTTCAGACAGTATAAGCACAGAAACATCAGATTCGAAATCCATTTTATAATACTTGAAGTCGTATTCCACTTTCTGTGTCATGATCATGTTGCCTAATGCAGCAACATTGTTTACTCCTGTAGCATCTAGTCTCCCCTGTTCCATTTTAGTTTCATCTAATACAAGGTGAGTGTCTTTACTGAGCTGCAGAACTCCACTTGTGAGGCGGTTGCATTCATAGTCCTTTCTGTTGTAGAGAAACGATATTTTATTAATATTTCAATCGTGATAGAACAATAGGTGAAAGTTGGCGTTCGGTTGGGATTTGATGAATTAATTCACATAACTTTGTATTGGAAAAATTTATAGAGTATTTACAGTGTAAATACTCTGAAGTTGATTGCGTAAAACTGTGTCATTATCAATAACGCTGAGACGGGTGACTCAACGTCGTAAGTTAGGCTAGTGTTACAATCTACATACAAACTTTATTTAATAATGCAAAAATATGGATTGAGTTTGGTTGCTTTCTGTGTGATTATTAACACAAAATCAGCTGTATACCCACTTTTTTGAAATAAAGATATTTCTTATTTTTTAGTAGTTAACTTAACTAGCCTCTCGCCTCGGCTTCGGACGGGTATAATCGTGGGTATAATGCTACACTATTGAATGGATGTTATTATACTTATAAATCCTCCTATTCAATCACTTTATCTACTAAAAAAAAACTGCATCAAAAACGGTTGCGTAGTTTTATAGGGACAAAGAAAGCGACTTTGTTTTATACTATGTTGTGACTAGTGGAAAATGGCTCACATAAAACACAACTGATAATAAACAGACCATTAAAATTAGGTAAAAATTAGAAAAAATTACTTACTTCGGCAATAAGCTGAGTGTATTCATATTTTCTATAGTGAGTGGCAAGTAGTAGCTCTTAGTGACAAATTGCTTGATGATGTCATACAACTGCTTTGCATAGTTAGGGTATTTCTGGATGGGCAGGTTTGATAGGTTGAGGCAGAACTGGCCGAGGGATAGCGTTTCTTGACGTAAATATCTGAAGATAAAAAAACATGGGATTTTTGGCTATGGCTGCTTTTAGAAACATACAGGAGCCCCGAAACATAATTTGTGGATCACACCAATTGTTGTTCCGTTCGGGAATCGAACTCGCGACACCCCCTCTTTCAGTCAGAATTATTTAGAATTTATGATATCTGGGACTCTGATAACTTGGAGCACGAAGCTATCCAACTAATTAGACTGCCTAGTGCGGCTTCCTTTTCTTTTATGTAATCGAAACATTAATGACTGCTCCAATTTAATCAACCAATCAGATCCAATCCAGAACCAATTAACCAATCAAAACGCATTTGGTACATTCCCGTTCGTCCACAGTGTGAACAACGGGGTGTAAACGAACGGGAATGACCAAAACGCGTTTCGATCCTATAACGTACGTAAAAACAGTAGGGTAATTGTGGTACAACAACGGCACACAAAATGCCTTGTGGATCACACATAGTTTTATTCACGTAAATGCGATCGTCAGGATTACAACGTTCGACGCTCTCATTGGCCTACTCCAAATTTATAAACTAAAAGAGTCAAGCGGGGTAATTAGATCGCGTAAGCTTAAAAAAACTCGTACTAGACAATCTGCATTCTTTCTAATGGATTTAAAATATCTTTCTCTTTTAAGTACAAATCATTCGTCCTTAGTACACTGCTTTGTTTTTTTACTTACTATTCAGCAACAGCACATTCCATTCCATATTGTATTTTTGTTCTCATAACAACCAAGTTTATTTGCAACATTAGATAAAGTCGCAGTTACTTTGAACCTATTTAAAGGTGATTGATGCTTGGCATTATTAATGATACTTACATACAAGATATGAGATGGCAAATTAAATACTCAGCAGCAAGTTTATCACCCAGTAACAGTTCTGTGAGAGCTTTCAACAAATGTTCGCGGGCTGCATTTGCTTCTTTTAATACTGATTCTGAAATAATAAGAAAAAAATATGCTAATATAAATTTATTGACTTCAGATTATTTAAATGTGGATTCTACTTTAGTTCTTAGCGAGTTTGTTGAAACGATAAACAGTACAGTCAGTCAATGAAAGGCTTAAAAGTAAGGTGCACTCAAAGTAAATACTGCTGTATAAGCAAACAGCAAACCTATAGATGCTAATTAGCATATCCAGTAGGGTGTTCATTTTTATACCTTGATTAAAACTCTCAATCAAAGGGTTGCAATGATCCAATTTCTTCACATACACTGCATGAAGCCTTGGTACTAAGCTTGGTGGGGGGTTGTGAGTGATAGTTTCCACCTCAGACTCTGTCTCAGGGTCCAATAGTGGATCTTTTTCCGGTTGGAACTCCCCTGATAATGCTGGATCAACTGACAGGAAGCCCACTACTTCTATCATCTCATTCAGTTTCACATTTTCACTGTCATCATAGATCTGAAATTATTCATTAGAGTTGTTTTAAACTTCTATTAAAAAAATGTTATGATAATATCTTTGTTTTGAAACTAATCATTTTGATATTAGGGAACTCATTAATATTAGATTGTAATGGCACATCAAAATAGAGGTTTATGATAAAAATGATGAATTAAATAACTTCAGACGTCTTCTGCAGGTATGCCAAAATTTGAAGATTTACATAAAAAATCATGCAATATCTAAACAAGGAAAACAGACCTTTAAAATGCAATAAATAAACAATAATACCTTAACAATACAAGACTTGCTGGGCATATCAGGCAAAGGGAAGTTTAA